CTTTTTTTTTTTTTTTTTTTTTTTGCAGAGTATTTTAAGGTAAATCTCAGACATCATATCATGCCCATAAAAATCTCAGGTCTATGGATAAGAACTTTATCTCCACAATTCCATTCTTTTCCCAGGTCATTATACAGCACAACTCAGTGTTCTTGATCTCAGAAGTGGTTGATTAACTGAAATATGTTTTTCTGCCTCTGGAACTTCCATGTGAAGATCTGTGGAATAATAAATAAGAGGAGGAACTCACATCTCTAAGCTTGGGGCCAATCAAGTCCACTGTGCTAAAACAGCATAGTTATATTTTATTAAACAGACATGTCAAACTAGGAAAGCCCCACTTAGCAAACATGACTTCCCCTCTGGCTTCCTGTGCCCCCACCTCTGTCATCCAGTAGTCCCTGGCCAGCAAAATGAGGAATTGGATAGAGTGACAGTTTTTACTTTGAAACTATGAGTCATTGTCTTTTCTTTGGAATACGTTGGTAGATCCTTAAATAGAGGATGAAAAAAAATATTTTTCTTCCTTTTGCCTTCAAAACAGGATGTAGGGTAAAAAGATTTATCTTTAATCATTGGTAGATATTACCAGATACCTGTCCAAAGCAACATAAATATTTTTAACTTGAAAGGTTTAATCCATTCTGCTTGGGAGAGTTTCTAATTGCGGCTGTGGTGGTCTCTGCATCGCCACACTTCCCTCCAGCTCTTAAAAATGAAGGCAGCAGTACCAACTTCCTTTTCAAAGTACCTGCCAGCTGCTCCCAACCAAAAACACAGAAATTTCCATTGTCACAACTCTGGGACCATGACATACCATTGCACCTCAGTGTACTGCACCTTGGAGAACTATTTTTATAGTAAACTTTGTAAGTGCTTCTCATAAAAAAAACAAATCTATAAAAATTCCTAGCCTTTTTCAATTGAAAAGTAATGAGTATCCTGTAGAATACTCTGGATATTGTAGGTTAAACATGTATTGTTTTCAGTAGATCACAGCACTGCATCTATGGCCAGGTAAATCTGAAATTTTATTCAGTGATGATGTTGCAAAAAGAAATTTGTTTTTTTCGAGAAGCACTTGTATTCTCTCATCAAGTAGAGGAATGATTGTGTACTATATGACCTCCTTTTCTTTGCAGCTTATGTGAGTATATTAAAAGCTAGTTTATTTTTTCTTTGTGTTTCTAAAGGGTTTTTTGCCTTTATCCTTTTTTTTCTCTTTCACTTTTTTAGTGTCAGATTCCTCCTCCTCCTCCTCCTCTTCTCTTTCAAGAACCGAATCTCCTCTCCACCTGTTTGTATCTTCTCATCTTCATTCTCATCCCAAACCTGATACCTTTGTGTGGCCCCCTGCAACTCATTCATTCAGTGACTCAGGTCCCCACCATCGCCAGGAACCCTCTCTCTGTAAACATGGTTTTTCCTTTCTTGTTAGACCTGCTTCATTTGCCTAATGTTTTATTTTCTGATAATCTTCCTAACTGATAAGCTGGATAGGAAACTCCATCAAACCTATCGGAAAGAAGATCTTGCTTATTTGAAAATCCAGAGCTGTCAGGGGCGGAAAGAAACCTGAGGTTGCAGACATTCGTGTCCAAGTTCCAACCTCCTCTGAGAAGTAGAAGAGACCAGTGGAGCTTTCCTAGAATATTACTTTTAACTCTTGAGCCCTCCTGTGCTTTCCTAGAGTTGATAAAAATACATACAATTAATCTTTGTTAAATAAATGGCAAATTACGATATTTTGTAATGATTTAATCCTTGAGTTTTCTGGGTTTCAATTTAGAAATTAATTTCAGTCAGTATATAATAATCAAGCTCAAATTCTAAAGGTAATGGCCACATGACTATTAAATATGTGGTTCTCAAGCTATACTGTGCATTAAAATGACACAGACAGCTTTTAGAGCTCACCCCAGGGTTTCTGAGTCCACAGGCTGAAGGATTCTACATCCCAAGGATCTGAGCATTTACAAATTGCCCTCTTTTGATTTAGGGCTGGTGGGTTTGGGGCCACATTTTGAGAAACATTGAAAAGGTAGGGTTTGTGTCATGAGACCATGTAAAGAAACTGGAAAGCATTTTAGTCTAATCTTGCTTTTAAATAATGCAGAAATTTTGAAAGCCTGCTTTAGGGAGTTCCATGACCTGTCAATTAAAAACTAAAAATAGAACCCAGTATTAAAATGAAATGCTGGTTGGTAAAGTCCTTAAAAGGGACCTAAATGTGGGTCTCCTCAGGAAAGGCTACCCTCTTTTCTTGCACTCATTTATTTAATGTTCACTTTACTGCCAGCACTGCCAGAAAACATTTAATCTCTGTATCTGTGATTTATACGGGCTCATTTTTGTTCCAAATGTTCAATTATATGCTGAACGAAAGCTCATAAGGGGGGTTGCTGCCAAGAAGAGCCACTCTGCCTAATGTGCTCATCTTCAGGGTGGCCAGGCAGCCGTGTGGAACCCACGCACAGAGCCACCAGAGAAATGAAGTGATCCTTTAAAAGAAACCATCCACATCAAGAAGCACGCCAACCTTACTCATCTGCAGATCGCGAGTCCCAGACTTTGTTTTAATTGCAACCCTAGTTTTATGAAATAGAAAATGAAAATGTTTATAAACTGCTTATTTTTTAAATTTATGTATTTATTTTGGGTTCTGGGGATCAAACCCAGGGCCTTCATGCTGAGCTGCATCTCCAGCCCCTTTTTTATTTTTTATTTTGGAAAGTCATTGAGTTGTCCAGGCCGGACTCAAACTTTCCATCCTCCTGCCTTAACTTCCAAGAGTGCTAGATTACAGGTATGCACCACCAGCCTATGTTGTTTTTAATCCATTTAAAACAGACACTTTCCCTTAATACAATGCCCAGGGCAATTGCCAGCTTTGGGTTTTCAGAAAACTATTTTTTACATGACTTTCGTTGAGTCTGTCATCTTGAAGTGGGATCTCGCGGCCCTGCCCACTTGGTGACACAGCAGACCCACCTGTCTTTGTGACCTGCCAGATTTTGTCTTGTGGCATCCTGGGGAGCCTGTGTTCCCTTAAGCCTTTGAAAACTGAAGAAGTTCTGGGTATTCTAGGGGCTGCTTCTTATCAGATTCATCGGTACATTGTTGGGGAGATGAGCACCCATTGCCTCTGCTGTCCCAAGCAGTGCACAGTGTTTTATTCTTTGTGTCATTGACAATTTGGCAATGAATTTGAATCCCAGCTCTTTCCTACTATAAGCAGGTAGACAAAGCCTGAGGTTTTATGAATTTTTTCTTCCTGCTCTTTGCCTTCCTAGGAATGAAAATTAGCCCAACCCTGCACATTGTTAGACTCAGGATTAGGGTTAATATGTGGAAAGATCTGAAACCTGCTCCTTTTCCTTCCTCTTGGAATTTCCTGCTCTACAAACAAAACATATTACATGAATTGGTCAGTTTCCATGTGCCAAATGAGTATGGGAATGTGGAAGGGAATGCCCAATTGGCCTTGCTTTAGTTTTTAAAAAATATCATTGTTAGTGGAAAACTGTATGTCACTCTTGAATTAAAATCTGATTCCAGACACCCAGACTTACAGTTGGAAGGTTATTAGAACTCTTTGCTTGTTTAGCCTTAATTTTGATTTTTCAACTGTTTTGTTTCTTGGTTTTAATTTTCGGTTTGCTCTGTTGTTCCAAGGCAACTCTCCAGAAGCATACTTTCATGGTTTTCCTTCCCTTTTTTCAGTTAGTAAGTAGCTTACCAATCTATCTATTAACCCTTCCAAGGGTCTCTAGAGCCATACCTCCTTCCACCGTGGAATGTGTATTGTGGTTGTCGAGTGTTGGAAATGTTGGGGTGCTGTGAACATCTCCCTGCTGCCTGCTTGCCCACTCCACCGCCTGGGGCCCACTTTCCTGAGATCTACATGCACTCAGCACAGCCTGGGCTCACACACTGTGGAGGCAGTATTGGTCTGAAGGACTGCAGAAGAAGGCATGGCAGGAAAAGTGGCCACATCAGGGGGGCAGTGGACAGATAAGGGGCCCTGGCACTGATTGGAAGCATGGGACATCCGGCCCACCATGGTGGGTCACCTATAAATTCTAGATCAAGAGAACCAGTTGAATCTTGACATCCTTTCTAGTACAGCCATCATTGTTGCATAGAAAAGCAATTGTAATTGTTAATTTTCCTAAAAAGATAGACTTTACAAAACTTAATGCCACACAGACCAAAAGTTATGGGAGACCAACCTATTCCCTGGAAGTAGGGTTAGTGCTTTCAAATCATTCGTGAATGGTCCCATTTTCCCAAAAGAGATTTCCTAGACATCAGAGTTGTCTCATCAGAGACTCTGGGGAAATAGTCTCTCTCCTGCCAGAGATGCTAATGTAGGCAATGATCCATTGCGTGTGAATAATTTGAGCCTTTAGTTTATGGCGTATAACCCCCACCAAAGCAGTGTGTTTCCTCTCTGAGATCCAGCTCAGCCTAGATGTGGTTTCATTTCTGGTTTAAAAACCGTCCATAATAGAAAGAAGGGTTATGTTTTGGTATTGTTATGACATTAGAGTTCCTCATAAAAGGATTTCATTGTCAGGCTCCTTTAAACATCAGGCACTTGAGAGACATTAAAAATACTTGATGTTCAGAAAATCAGGCCACATTAAACTCTTTGAGCAGCCTTTATTGACTAAAGTGAGGCTTGATATGTTCATGCAAGAGACTTAATTATTTTCTGTAGAAGCAGCTCTAACTCCCTCAAGATCAGGAAGTTCAAGGCCCTTCGAGTTCAAGGACCAGTTCTGCAGAGGAAACCCCTGCAACTCCTTGAATCTCTTTGGATCTTAGTTTCCTCGTCCATAGAAATATAATCGTAATTGTGTTGACACCTTTCTGGTCGGGCAGTAACAGATCCCGATTTTGAGGCCCAGCCAGTGCCTTTCTAGACATAGCCCAGGCAGCCAGGGCTCCCACTTCAGTGCACACCTGTGTGAGGAGCTGGGCAAGGTGTGACTGGCTGTCAGGTCTCTCTGTGTACTGCCCCCTCACTTCATAGATTCATAGGCTTGAGGACACAGGGAGGCCTCGTTCCCGAGTGCACTCGCAGTTTGGAGAAAAATGTGTCCTAATGTTTTATTCGCCTCTCCAAAGAATGTGCCAGAAATCAAGATTGCTGACTTGGGTTGTTGGCTCAGTTTTTCATATCATTGTTGCTGGTGAGACTGCTGCTCTCTCTGGGAATAAGTAACTTGGAGAAGAGAATAAACAGATTAGTGAAAGAAAACACCTCTAAAATGAAATCAGACGGAAAAATGAATTCAAGATACAAGTAATTTTTTTCATGCCATATCAGCTAGCATTTTGTTAATGACTTTCCATTTTCTAACCTACAAGAATGTATATCATGATCAAAAAGTAAGCAGTCAGGTGGTATATTTTACCTCTTGCTCCTAATAAATTTTTTTTTTTTTAGAAAAATCTGTGCATATGAAAGCATTATTCTAGTAACAGCCCTACAGTTTTTGAGTGGTAATTTTAAAAATTTGGGCCCTGACATAAATGGCCTTTTCAAATATAACCTTCTCTTACTATTTAGATTAAATTAAAATTGGTGTAATACCGTTGTCCTTCACTAGTTCTGTGGTGTCTTTCCTTAAGCAGGGCTTAGTGGGATTAGAGGAGATGAATGGCACTCACGCAGAAAGAAGCAGGTGTCTGAAGTAGAGCAGTGCCAGAGTCAGGAACGTTTAGGGCGAGCAGCAGCCTCCCAGGGCCAAGGCCACTTCCGGCCTGAGCCACAGCCTCAAGAATATGCAGCAAGGAGGGCTGAGCCAGCAAGGTGACATCTGCCACAGTCCTCCTGCAGAACGTACTGTCTCCAGCCCAGAGCCAGCGGCAGGCACTGCTCCTTGGCGGCTGGCTTGGCCCTGCATGCTTGCGAATGGCTTCCCTCCATGCTTCCGAGTGCCCACCTGGCCCCCAGCAGCATGCCTGCGGCCCCTGCTTGCCCACTGGTGACAATGCAGCCCCTTCTCTCCTTGCTTCAGTGGGTCCTTCCCTGAAGCTTTTCCCTTTCAGGGCAAGATTCCTCCTGTCAGGGTTATACTGTTTACTGATGCTCTGTAAGTCCTTGGCAAACTGTGGTCTCGTCATGGGGCCTTGGGTTTTGTTGTCCTCATCTATTCTTCACTCAGAAAAAGGTGGCCAGAGTTAAACAGAGGAGTCTGGGTCAGAGGAGCGCAGAGCTGACAGGGCCTTGGAGGGAGGAGCTGCTGCCCTGCAGCTCTGTAGACCTGGTCCACTGTCACCTGGTAGACACGTCACAGAGGGGTTGATGGTATCACCGTGGGGGTGGCTGCACTCAGAGAGGCAGCAGATATGGAACAGAGACCACCCCTAGTCAGCCTCCCCAGCAGGCTGACCCATGGAAAAGATAAGAATGGTGGTCCTACCTCCCCAGGAAGGCAGGGGCACCAACATTTGTCATGTTTAAAGGAAAAAAAGTATAGATAAAATATGCCTTATTTGAGTTAACTCTCCTACCTCTTCCTATCCCTCCAAAAACTAAGAGATACTTAATCGCTAGTCCTTGCCTCCCATTCCTCAGCCTGGGACACGGGCTCTTGGAGCGAAGGTGGCAGGTGTGGGAACAGAAGGGTACAGCTGCCCACAGTCTGCAGCATTGGGAGGGTGTATTTCCAAGCCCTGTCTTGAGAGACAGACGTTCTTTTCCTGTTAAAAATGAAAAAATTCAAGCAGGCTGGCTGACAGAATGCTTAGTCATTCCTGTTGCTGCTTTGTATATAAGGTCTTTAGGGGGAAATGGCCGCTTTCCCTTCTTTTTAGGATTATTTTGGGGGCACAGCTTCTAGGCCCTGGGAGCTGAATAAATCCTGTTGGCAGATAGTATTGAATCATTTGGAAACTGAGGGAAATAAGCACAGAGATTCATCAGCAGTGGCTCTGAGGCTTTTCAGAAAAATTCAGGAAAGGTAGGTATTGGCAGAAAGAATGTGGGTGATAGACGGAGATGGGACTCGGGGTGCAGCCACGTGCTCCATCATTCTCCCACGTTCATGCACACGAGGCAGCCGAATCAGTCCTCCGGGGCTGTGAAGGAAAGAGCTGCCCAGAATCCTGAGCAACCTGTGTCAGCTGATTGTGTTCATGCATAATAGAACATAGTGGGATGTGCACCAAGTCGCAGGGTGGGCTGAGATCTGGTTTATCTTCTCCGTGCTGTGAAGACACGAGGGCAGGCGGAAGGCTCATGCCACCAGAAAGCCAGAAAAGCAGCTGGCATAAAAATTTGCCATGCATTCTGTAACCTTCGCTGTGAAAATACAGACGTAACTAAGCCACCTAACTTTTGCTTAAGAAAATGATTGGCTCTGGAATCCCTTTGAATGATGAACTTTGCTGCTGAAATAGGGTCATATGTAATTGCCACATTTGAAGTTTCTGTGAAATCAGCCGTAGGTTTCTGTTCCATAGGCGGGAAAGGGGAGTTTGGAAAGGCGTCAGCTGCAAAGCAATTGAAGCTGGCTGTTGCCATCATCCCTTGTGGCAGGGTTTCTCAGCAGGTCTCCAAGCATGATAGCAAAGCTCACCCGGGAAGGGGTCAGATCCTATTGGCCTGTAGGACAGTGTCCTCCCCTGCAGTTCCTGATGCCTGTACACATGTACACACACACACACACACACACACACACACACACACACACACACACGTGCTGTGGTCCAGGAGAAACCTAGAAGAGGACCCTGGGTTAGGAATTAGAACCACTTTTCATGTGGCACCTTGCCTTTGTTGCAAGTATCCAAGACAACATTTTTCTCTTTCAGGTCTAGGTGGGAGGGGAGTACCCCACAAAGGGTGCCCTGGACCATTTAGGCAGTTAGGTCTCAGAACCTGGGCCAAATTTAGGGCATGTGCTTTCCTGCCTATGTCTGTCAGCTCTTGGTTCATTCAGTTTCTCAGTGGCTTTTTTGAGTCACTAGATCCCAAGGGCAAGGGGCACATTATCTCCTTGGTGGATCTTAAGTCTTGATTTTGTGATCCGGGCAATGCAGTTAACATTGTTACCTACCTCAAAGAACTGTTTAAAGATTAAATAATATATCTAAAGAGCTTGTCATAGAGCGGAAACATAGTATGTTCTCTAAAAATGGTAACCACCCCACTGTCATCATCATCTTTCGCCAGACTTTATTCACAGTAAAATGGATTATTACACTAGGAATTAAGCAATGTACTTGTATATAGATATCACTAAGAAAAGGAACTTTGGCAGTGCAGTAGTTCTGATTAGTTCCTTTGTGGACCAAACAAACAAAATAGCTCATTCAAAAAGTGAAATTAACTCCTCTAAAAGCTGCAAGCCCTACCATAGAAACTGGTTGGAAATTTGTAAGATTTTTCTATAGCAGCAGGTTATTATTTTTAAATGAACCAATACATGAATATTTTAAATATGCCTCAGTCTTAGTTTCTCCTGTGACAAATGTCAATAGTTGAAACCCACATAAATCTCTTGAGGGTCTTTAATAACCTTCTGGAGTCCGGAGAGATTCTGAGACTAAGAAATCTGAGAAGCAGTATTCCAGAGAACAAGATCTTCTTGGAACACTGTTCCCCGAGTGACCACTGGCTATGAGGACATAGGAGAGCTCAGGCTGCGACCTGGGTCCAAGCTTTTTCACCCAAATGTTAGTTACATCTCTTCCTGTCCCACCTCTGTGGCTCTCAGTCTTCTTCACTGTGTGTCGAAATCACTTTGGTGATTAACGGTTAAATGCCTGGTCCCACTACAAGAGGTTGTGACTCACTTGGTCTGCAGTGTAACTGTGACTTCGTGACTGATTTAAATCCCCAAGTGATTTCTGTGTGAAGTCAAGGTTGAGAGTCAGTGAGAAGATAATGGCAGAATATAGCAACCGTGACCTAGATTATTCATTTATTCAATCATTGCTACTGATCATTTCTGCCCATCATTGTTACTAAAAATCTCAGGGAAACTCTAAACCCTTGTTGCCAAAGTTAAAATATTATTTTCTTTAAGAAGAAATAAAATAAGACCAAAAATATTTATAGCAGCTTTATCACTTTGATACTTAGATTCTTTTTCTTAATGGAGTTAGACTACGTTATCTAACCCAAGGCAGATTGGTCGCCGGCCTGCACCTGTTCCTGAGCATCATAGGCAGAATCCTTTGTTTCAGCCTCGGTTTCTGCATTCTTAGACAGCAGCCTCCTCCTAAAGAACTCACAAGGCCTTTTCCCAAGCCCACTGTCCACTTGGGTGTCCTCACAGTACTGTCTGTGGGTTGGCCACAGAAGGTGCAGTGCCTTTCCTCTGAACAATTTTGGTTTCCATCCACCAAACTCCCACAAAAATTTGAGCGTAGTGAGAGGAGGCCATGATACTGTCATGTTGGAGCAATCAGAACATTATACAGGAATCCACTTCCACTGTACATCCTCTTAAAGTGAACAAATTATGGTACATTCTAAAATCTAGCCAAAATTTTGTTTATGCTCATAATTTTGGATTATCCAGAGTATAATGATCTTGATTTATTAGCATGGTCAGCATTTTTCTTTACATATTATGAGTTTTAAACTTCATAATGAGTTATAGTTACCAAAAACAATGTTGGAATATTTAACTCCATACTAAGCTTCCTGATTAATTATAAATTAAGAAAGATGATTGCAGAGAAATATAAATTATTTGAAATAACTGAAAATCCTGCTCTCTGTTCTGAAACCATGCCTCCAAAAGTGAATGTTGGGCAGAAGTAGGGAACAAGCCCTTGTTTAACAGGGGCCCTCTGGTCGTCAGGACCTCTGAAGCCACCTTTGCAGTTTGACTCACGCATTGCAACTATGCCTTTGACTGGTGAATGTGCTCACCGGCCCTTTTCCTTGGGGTCCTCTCCTTTTAGCATAGCAGGTTTTACAGATAGGCAGGAAGCTATTCTGAGCCCCAGACAGACAGTTTACTATAAGCCATCCTTCCCTAGTCTAGTATTAACCTGAGAATAGACACCTCCATATACACAGGGCAAAAGTACTTTTTTACAGTTTGTGAGTCTTGTCACAGAATATGAGTCCCAGGCCAAGGGTGTTGCCCACTTGTCGAAGGCCAGGCTGCACTAATGAAATGGGAAGTTGCTGGGTTTGTCTTGAGAATGGCCATCTGACCACTCTACACACTACCCCAGGAGGCAGGTATGGTCCTTCTCTCCCGATACATCGAGGCCTCTACATGGCACTTTGTAACATCCCTACCTAGTACTTCATTTATTAACTGCTGTGAAGCTAGCTGTCCCCGCTTCCTGCCCCCCAATACTTACCCTGTGTTGAGCTCCTGGAGGGAGCTTAGCATACATAACGTGTTCCTGTGTGCTGAATAAAAGTTAGCTAAAGCAAAAGGATGAAACTGAGGTTCCAGGCCAAAATGACTGTTCCCATTTCTTTACGGACAGTAACTCAGAAACATCCTGGAGAAGGTTTGTGTGTGTGTTTGTGTGTGTGTGTGTGTGTGTGTGTGTGTGTGTGTTGCGTTGCACCCTTGTGTCTTTGTACGGGAGGGGTCATTCGTCAGTGTGTGGCTGGTAGCCTGTTCTTTCACTCCTGACCCCATCTTCTTGAAACCTCCCACAGGCTCTGTCCATGCCACATCAGTGGCAGCCTCAAGAGTGGAGCAAGCACTGTCAGAAGTGGCCTCATCTCTGCAGAGCAGTGCCCCCAAGCAGGGCCCACTACACCCCTGGATGACGCTGGCACAGATCTGGCTACATGCAGGTACCACTCTGCCCTCCTGCACCCTGTGAACCCTTCCCCCCATGCACCCCTCTCCATGAGCCATGCTGTGCCCAAGGCTGCAGTTTCTGGGGCTCTCACCTGTGTAGCTCAGAACACCTCATCAAGCGAAACCAAAACCTTTGCCATCAAGCATCAAATTTTTACCACTTCTTTGCAAGGGTCATGATTTGTTCAGTACCTGCCCCTCTTTCCCCTGTGTCCATACCTGACCTAGAACTTGCCCCAGTTCAAGTGCCCGGGAGAGGTTTCCTGGATTACACTCAGGATTCCTAGGGAGTCTGTTGTCTGGAGTGCCGCCTTTGCCCTGGAGATGATCACACAGTCTTTGTGGGCAACATGGACTGGAAGCCCTGCTGTACTCTCAGCATCTGGGTAGCCTTGAGTTCTGTCTTAACCACCCAGGCTTAGTTTGCTCATCTGCACCATGGGATTAGAATAGCACCTGTCTCCTAGTATTGATAAGCACAGTGCATGGTACATCTCAGCAGCCAAGTCTCTAGGAGAAGGGATGAGAGGTATTGGTAACATGGATGTAGTTATCAAGGCCAAGGGGAGACCTGTTCGGTGGATCCACCTTCTCTGATGGCCCCTGAAAGAGGGGATGGCAGAAGCCCTTGGCCTGGTAACTGGCACAGAGGCAGGGATGATCACCCCTGCCCAGATTGCACAGGGCAGTCTGCTGGCTTCACAATGCTTCTGCACAGCTGGGAATCCCAGAGTTAAATCCAGCATACAGGTGTTTTGGAGTAATGAGAGTCCCTCTGTACAGAGCTCCCAAGCAAATGATGGCTGTTGATTTACTTGCATATTTCTATTTCTACATAAAAGGTAACTTCTGTCCCTCAGATTTTATCAGTCTATCTGCATGACCCTGCCTGAGCCTTCTGAGACTCACCTCTGGCAGGGTTTGTGCCAAAAACCCAAACATGGCGGAAGAAGGTGTGTGTGTTACCCACTGGCTATCTGTCTGTTTGTTCCTTTTTGCCGGAGTCAGTCGTGTGGTGGTCAGCCTGTGTGTCCCCACTCGGGACCTGTGCCTCGTGAAAGCCTGGTTGAATTTACCTGACTTGGCAGTCACAGGACCCCACCCAGTCAGCATTTTCTCTGTTAGCATCTTTGAGCTGTAGCAAACACCATAAATTAACAAATTATGTTCTTGAGAGCAGAAGTGCAGCGGAGGGCTGATTCATGCATGTGCACTGCTTCTCCCCACTGCACACGCGCTGCTCTGTGGTACTGGGCTCTTGCCCAGAGAGGTCACAGGCAGGCTGCCTCCAAAGGCCAGGGCCCCTCAGGAAGGCCATCTCCCCATTTATGTGACAGAGAAGCCCAGCGCAAGATTCTAACAATATCCTGCTCAGTCACCTCTGTGAGCAGTGACTATGCAGCTCACAAAGGAAGAGAGTGGGTGCCTGGAAGAGAATGCAGAGCTGGAATAGGAGCAGAGTTGCCTTTCAGATTCAGCTTGAAATCGAGTCTTTGAAGAACAAAGGCTAAAGCCCAGCAGGCTGATAGTGATCCTCCTGGATGGACTTGCTTCTGACCTCCCCAACAGGGCTTCTCTTGCTTGTTTCTTGGAAAACTCAGTGACCTGAAGTCCGTAGAGCTTTGCCTGAGGGTTGTTGTCCCCATCAGCTCTCTTGGGACTTTGCCCTACCTGCTGTGACTTGCGGAGGAAATTCTATAGTTGCTTATTAGAACTTTAAGAACTTGGTGACTAAGGTTCAGTTTGGAGCTATCCTTAAAATTTTATGTAATCACACAAGCTTCATTTCTCATTGCTGTGGCTGATAGGACAGAATGAAGGTCTCATCAATAATCAACACGTGTGGCTTTAACCTTCTATAGCTTGGTGGACCTGGACTGTGGAAAGCACATGCCAAAGATGGGCAGATGTGTTTGCACAGGTGTCGTGAGCATTGCATGAAGTCTGAGGGAATGGAGCCAATAGAATCTGTGCTATATTGACTCTTTCCAAGCCACACACAAGTCAAGATTTAGAGTCATATATCCACCTAGTCTGAAAGAGGTGCATTTAGAAGAAAACACAGATCCCACTGAATTGTCAGGAGGTGCCACATGTGGTTTGAGGTCTACTGATCTGAGAGGTAAAACAAAGGTGACTTCATTTTGTGCCAGTTCATGGAAACCAGGTAACATCTACTTCCTGTGTCCATCATCAGCTCCAGCAGTATTGCCAGGTGCCACACATTTTGCAGGCTTTAGAGAAATTGGATCGAGGCCTGATACCCAAGCCCACGGTGTTTGGCGTTTGCAGGGCTGTTCTCTTGGACTTTTTTCTGGCAAACTAAGTATAGCAGGAGGTTGTGATGGTAGCCTGATGAAGGTGGCCTGGATTTTAGTCTTGCAGGGAAGGTCACTCTGAGATGACCTCAGGTTCTAGCCCACTGCATCAGAGACACTTGTGCGTTTGAAGAGGACAGCTGAGGCTCCAGCTGCTCTGGGAGGGAAGAGGCCAGGTCCAGGCGCAAACATGGACCCAGGAAACCAGAGATGCTTGGCCACAGAGTCCCTCTTCCTGTGTGGAGTGTGCTTGATCTGCTGTTCCGGACACCCCTTATCTCAGAGCCTCAGGACACTTGGAGGCTGAACCTGCCCAGGCTGTGCATGTTTGTTCCTTGGTTGTTTGGACCTGTGTCACAATTTTATTGAAATTGTTTTCAAATGAATGACGTTCATGGTGTACACAGTTGAAAAGGCAGGAAAGAGCTAAAAGGAAAGGGCTTCTCCTGTCCCTGGGCCTCAGTCATCTGTCACAGGCAGGTGGTAGTCTCTGCCCCTTCTGGAGATCATCCCACTTTGAGCTGTGTCCCCACTGTCCTCTTAACACAGTGTCAGAAGATTGTCACATAGCACAGACAAAGCTGATCCATAATTTTTACACCTGTGTCATATAAATCCATGGTGTGGAAATACCATAATTCAAGCAGTTCTCTGTTGATTACTGTTTAATTTCAAGTACTTTGCCATTATGGATAATGTATAAGTACCCTAATGTATATTTGTTCTGTATCTCTAAGATAAACTCCAAAAATTAGAAATAATGGAGCAAAGGATGTGCACTCTCTAATGTTGATAAATTTTGTCGTAGTACCTTCCATGGACCCATACCAATTTCTAAGCCAGTCAATAACATGTGAGTGTCTATTTCTCACTTCCTTGTTGACACCGCAGAGTCTCAAAGTCCTGGATCTTTGCCAGCCCCGTATGTGAAAGATCTTTGTCAGCCCCAGTGGAGACATTGGCTGCTTATAGCTTTTGCCCACTTTTCTTCTTAAATATTGAGCTTTTTCTTCTTACCTAATAAGCCTTTATTATGTATCAAAGAAATCTGCCTTCTGTCTGTATTCTTCCTTTCTTTTAATGGCATCTGGGCTTCCCATCATATTTAGAAAGCAACTTCCCAGCTTTTAGACTCTTTCTGAAAGTTCTGAGTATCTTGTGGTGTCATTTGTGTGTACTGTGTCTCATAAATTAGGACAGAGGGAGGATCTTTTCCCTACAGCTCACAGCAGGGAACCCAGCTAGATAGCAGTGGTCACCATACAGTCTTCCTGGGGCAGAAGCCAGGAGAACTTTAGCAGAGCAAGAGGCCTTGCTACTCAGCATGGAGCCCCCGGAACCATACACACACACACACACACACACACACACACACACTGAACCATACACACACACACACACACACACACACACACACACACACACACACACACACACCCATCATCAATTCAAGCTTCACTGTTGTCCCGGAACCATACACACACACACACACACACACACACACACACACACACCCATCCATCATCAATTCAAGCTTCACTGTTGTCCTCCGGAAACTCAGTCATTATAATTACGAGCTGAACTAGGGCCTTTCCAAGCCATGCAGCTTCTGGGTGCCCATCTTTCAATTCCCACATTGGGACGGCAGCTAAAAATGACTCGGCAGTAGGTGGTTAATTTCTGCTTGTTACTTACTAATAATTATAGCTTTCACTTTGGCACTTCTCACAGCCGAAACCAGCAGCTATTCTTAGATTTGCAAGATCAGATCTTCTGATTTCTGCTGGGAATGTAAAGCTGTGATACTCTTATGAATTCCTTGGCCCTGGCCTGGCCTGTCCCCTCTGTCCTTCCTCCTCCCTGGCTCTTCCCAGGCACCAGGAGCTTGCATCAGTAGGGTCGAGGGGTAATCCTGCAGCATGTGCACCCTAACAAGATGAGAGCTCCCAGACAGGTGGCATGCAAGCCACTGCACAGGGCATGCCTGGGACAGAAAGCAGAGTCCTGGGGCCCAGGCCTGCCCAGATACCCTGCTGGTCTGGACAGATCAACTCCACCCACCAGCCCTTTCTTCCCTAGAGGATCTTGGCTAATTGTCTGCAACTTACAGATGGCTAAAATATATCAAGAACAGTATATATGTATCATGTGTTATTCTCAGGACTTTGGAGGTGTTAACTTGTGGTTCTCATCAGAACCTGACATAGTATGAAAACCCATATTCACAGTGAAGAAACTGAGGCACAACTGTCAAATCACTTGCCTAAGGTTGCTTGGCTCTGATATTGAGAAGCCTGAATCACAGAGGCAACCAGTGTGGCCCAGAACCCTCACTCTAACCCCCAGTAGGCACTCACTTGGTCAACACAATGTCTGAGCATCTCCTTACGTCCAGGCTCTCTGCTCCTAGGCTCGATGGTCATGAAGACAGTCTCTGTTCCAGCCTTCCTTGAGTTTACAGATGCAAAGCAGTTACAGAAACATGTAACTTCCACAGTGCCAGGGGCCCAGAGGGAGCAGAGCAGGCTCCTGTGACCTCCTGGAAGCACAAGGCCTCCCTTAAGTAAGGCAGCCAGATGAGATTTGGGCACAGTTGAGAAGAGACTGGAAGTGTGGTTACCATTGGTCAGGGACCCTGGAGGGAGATACGGAACAGCTGGTGAGAAGGACTGGAG